TGTAGCTATCTTATTTCACTATGGACATTACGCTAACAGGTTAATCTCTACCACTCACAGACTATAGGGTACCCACCTTTCTTGGTGAAAAACTGGGTCACATACTGACACCCTTTCTTTTGTCTCTCCTCTCTCTCCTTTCTCTCTTTCCTTTTATGAAAACAGGATTTTCATTTAGTACTAGCCTAGGTTGCATGATGATGACTGTAGCGTTCTAGCGCAACTGCTGACTATACGCACCATCACCGTCAGTGCGCTAAGGCAGGACCAAACCATTTCATGCAGATACAGGGGGTGGGCAGTCAATATGCATGTTTACTTTTTGGTCGATGGGGATATTAAACTTTTACTGCTAAACACAAGTAAAAACAAGGAGATCATTAATTTTATTACTATATTTGAAAAAAATATTCTTAATGATGATGGTTTAATCAATTTATATTAATATTTACCTATTTTTGGAATCCTCCTAACTTTTCTCCCCTATACTGAGCCACTGTGCACATGAGTACAGAGGAGGAGAGCTGCTCAAATTAAATAACAGGGACGGACCTCTCTACTCTTATAATGAGTTTCTAGCAGAATACAATGTTCCTGTGTCACCTGGAGACTTTGCAAAATTCTTTGGAGCAATCCCTTCTGGTGTTTGCATGTTATCTAGATCTCAACCAAGAGTGGAAACCCAACAATGATCCCTGTTATCCTTGACTGACACTCCAATTGGTAAAATCTATCTATCCTGTGACCATGGTAAAAACAATAGATTGATAAGATTCCTGTTTAAAAGGGATGCCATTACAGTTCTCACACTGGAATAAATCCATGGAACATATTGACTGGAAAAAGGTCTGGCTCCTTCCCAACCAATACCTTTTGACCAACAAAGTTAGAGAAATTTCATTTAAAATAATTCATAGGTTTTATCCATCTAATGATTATATTGTAAAAATATTTAAAAGAGACATAGATGTGAAATGCACTTTTTGTTCTGTAAATATTGAAACTGTTACTCATTTATTTTGGCACTGCCCCATTGTCAAAGCCTCTGGAGTGATATCTGTAATTTTATTGCGAAAAATATTGAAAAAGAATTTAAGCTGTTTTGGAGGGATGTGCTGTTTGGACTTTTTGACTTTAACAGAAATACGGCAAAACCCAATGAAACATTTATTATTAATCGTATCATACTTTTGGAAAGATTTCACATTCACAAATGTAAGTTTACACATAGAAAACCTCCTTTTGTTGCTTTCTACAGTGAGTTCAAGCAGTACATTGATTCCATTAAATTTTCCCTTAATCAAAAGGCAATCAAAACCATTAATAGCCTACTTGTGATCATTTTAATATTTTCTTGTAAACTCTTATCCCCCCGACATATGTGATATATGACGTATATGTGTAGTGTTGAAGATTTGCATTCTGTAAACTTCCTATGTGTTAAATAAAGTTTTGGGGGAAAAAAACGAGAGCTGCTCATTTCCTATCTGACATGATGAAGAGACGCTACAGCACTAAAGAGGCGCTAGAAATGATCGTGGAGCCCGATCCAGAGCCCGTGGAACACAACGATCTAACCTCCGAATCGGACACCGACACAGCTGAAGAGGATGAGGAGTACCTCCCGGCGGCTGGCTCATCCTCCACCAGCTCCCCCGACTTATCTGACGGTGGGGAAGGGGAGACACCACCGGACCTGTCCTGGAGATCCAAAAACGGGGAGATCCAGTGGGCAGCCACAAACTCGGAGACCCTACAGTTTAACCCTTCGGGCACAGGGATTACGCACGGACCCACCCGCTACGCCGTGGCCAGAGTTGGTGAAGTGATAGACAGTTTTGATTTATTTTTCACCCCGGAGGTCACGAAACGTGTCCTAGATTACACCAACCTGCATGGGAGAAGGACGGTCCCGGACTGGAAGGACCTCGATGCCACCACCGTGCGGGCTTACTTTGGACTGCTTCTGCTGGCCGGCGTGTATCGGTCCCGCGGTGAAGCAACCCGCAGCCTGTGGAATGAGCAGACGGGCCGGCACATCTTCAGGGCGACCATGTCGGCCAAAACGTTTGGATTGATAAGCCGAATCCTGCGTTTTGACGACCGGCTGTCCAAACCGCGGCGCCGGGGAGCAGACAAGCTTGCTGCGGTCCGGGAAATCTGGGATCTGTGGACCAGCCGGCTCCCCCTGATGTTTAATCCAGGTGTGGACATCTGTGTGGATGAGCAGCTCGTGCCATATCGGGGACGCTGCGAATTCAGGCAATACATGCCCATGAAGCCGGCCAGGTATGGCCTCAAAATGTGGGTCACCTGTGACGTACAAACGTCATATGCATGGAGGGTGTCTGTTTACACCGGCAGAGAAGCTGGTGCGCCGGCAGAACGAAACCAAGGACGGAGGGTCGTGTTGGAGATGACGGAGGGGCTGAGAGGGGTGACTGTGACATGCGACAATTTCTTTTCCTCCTTCGGCCTGGCAGAGGAGCTGCTCCGCAGAAAGATCGCCATGGTTGGCACCATGCGTAAAAGCCGACCAGAGCTTCCCCCTGAGCTCCTGAGGGTACGGAAGAGAGAGGTCCTCTCCTCCATCTTCGCATTCACCCAAACTCACACCCTGGTGTCCTACATCCCAAAGCGGGGCAAAAACGTTGTCTTGCTCAGCACCAAACACCGGGCGCCGGAGATCAGCGGCGAGAAGAAAAGGAAGCCCCAGATCATACTGGACTATAACTGCTGCAAAGGAGGAGTGGATACCATGGATGAGGTATTTTAACGCAATCCATAAACATGTTTTTTCGAAATTTATATGCTTGTCTAGATGTTTACTATTCAGCATTTCTTAGAAATGAAAACATTTTTCATCATCGTTGTCTCTGTCTTTGATTTGCAGATGATCTCTACATACAGCTGCAGGAGGAGGACCAGACGGTGGCCCTTGGCTCTTTTTTTTAACATGCTGGACATTAGTGCCCTCAACGCGTACATTGTGTGGACGGCCATTGATCCAGCATGGCACCGAGGAAAGTCCCACCGAAGGAGGCTGTTCCTGGAGGAGCTAGGGAAGAAACTGGTCAACCCCCAGATGGCCCGCAGGGAACGCCTCCCACTGACACCAGGCGCCCTCAGCCTCGTCCTGGAAGCTCAGGCTGGCACAGGCAACACCACCAGCACCAGCACCAGCACCACACCCACAACTCTCCGTGTGAGGAGGCAGTGTGCGGTCTGCCCCACACGGAGAGTTGTGTTCTGCACATGCAAGATCTGTAAGAAACATGTTTGCAAGGAGCATTATGGCACAGTTTGCAGCTCCTGCCTCCCCTGAACAGATCGTTCTGTTATGTTTATTTCGTTATTGTTATTCAAGTTATGGTTATAAATCTTGTTCTTGCTCTCTTTTGTGTTGTTCTAATAAATAAGTGAAAATGTTAAATGGGCAGTAGGTGAGGTTCTTTACAAAAGTAGATCATACTAATTTAGAATATTGAACAGCTTTATTTTGATTAGCACATTTTTGTGCAATTTGACAGTGCAAAAAAATGCATATAAATAAATGTCGCTGCTAATATTTCACATATAGCAGGCTGCAATCATCAAACCACAAATAATCAACTTTGCATGAAGTATGTTTTTTTAAAAAAAAATCATTTATTGTGTTTTTTAGACCATAAAACAAGGTTGCATCATGACAAAAACTTGGCAGTTTAAGGGTTGAAGATTATAAAACTTCACTAATATTTGATATGTATGTTTAGGACTGATGCTGATTTAAAGAATTAAAAAAGAAAACTTAAAAAAAAAATCATTTTTAATGTTTTTTTTTTATAGCTGGAGTTTTTATGAGGACATTTACGTAACTTTTTTTGAAGCCCACACAAGAAGGGCTCTGCCACCTTGCCATTGTCTCTCTCCTTTTTTTTTCTTCACTGTAGCACTATCAGAAAGTGCTTTTTAGCTATAGAGACGGAGCGCAACGCGTCATAATCTGAAAACCTGTAGTAAGGACTGTAAGGAAGTGGACTGAGGAGTCAGAGCTGGAGTTGCAATGTCTGCTTTGACTGCACAGATTGGAGTGTTTTTGAAGCTGCAGTTGCAGACCTCATTGAACTCACTGATACTGTGACATCTCACATCAGTTTTAATGAGGACGTGTATGCAGAGCAAGACCTTCTGCACATACAACAACAAACCCTTGTTCACACCAGAACTCAGGTGGCTGCCCCAGACCAAGGAGCAGGCCTACAGGAGCAAAGATCGGGCCCTGTACAAGCAGGCCAGGAACAAGCTGACAAAAGAGATAAGGGTAGCCAAGAGGGGCTACAGTGAGAAGCTAAAAAACAGCTTCTCAGCCAACAACCCTACGTCAGTTTGGAGAGGCCTGCAGGACATTACCAGCTACAGGAGACCATCCCCCCATTCTGTGAAAAACCTCAGACAAGCAGACAACCTGAACAGCTTCTACTGCGGGTTTGAAAATAACCTTTCCACACCTCACAACCACACAAAGGGAGGGACTATATCCTGTACCACCTCAACTCCCCAGGGACATATGCAAGGATCCTGTTTGTGGACTTCAGCTCAGCGTTCAACACCATCATCCCTGACATTCTCCACCAGAAGCTCATCCAGCTCATGGTGCCTGCCTCCATCTGTTAGTGGATTATCAGCTTCTTGACTGACAGGAGGCAGTGTGTGAGGCTGGGGAGCATCACATCCAGCTCTCGGTCCATCAGCACTGGCACCCCCCAGGGGTATGTCCTCTCCCCACGACGCTTCTCCCAGTATACCAACGTTTTTTTTATAGTTGTTAAATATCTTAGTGTTATGATTACTTTCATTTCTGGCATTCTATCATCATTGCGTTGGGTGGGAGATGTAAGCACATCTCTAATGAATCACAAACATTATACCAGAGATAAGGAGATACCCCACCGTAGACTCCTGTCTCCTAAGTGGGCGTGGTTAGCTCTCCCTCCAATCAGAGCCTGTTCTCCCTCACCCTCACCACAGTTAGCTTACAAACAGTTATTTACCGCTAGTAATAAATAAAAAACGCCCAAGCTTTGTGCAGCAATAGGCTGCAATAATAGGAAGAATGTATTTTCATTCCACCTGCTTCTCGATCCGCATACACAGACATCCACAGAGCCTCTGTTCAACACGGTGGTGGGGAGGGGGGTTGAGGGAGAACAGGCTCTGATTGGAGGGAGAGCTAACCACGCCCACTTAGGAGACAGGAAGAGTAACCGTTTTCTTAACATTGGATAAGCCTACAGTTGGGGATCTCCCTTCATCCAGTATCTCTGGTATCTCGCTTTATCCAATATCTCTGATTATACCTGCACCGTCTAATCTGTGGCATTTTATTAACTCACTTTCATCCAGTGTTTGGAGAATATTCTTTCTACCTCTTTGTTTTTTCACCATTTTCTCCTCTGCTTTAAAAACTTAAAAGTCCGCCGCCCTAGTCCTATAGTAGTTTTTCCATCTTAAGAGCTCTCTTAAGGGTTAAGATATTTTGTGAGTAACTTTTGTCTTTACAAGGAACTCGTCTTAACTGTAAGAGGAAATTCTGAAAAAAGACAGAATTCTCTCAGAATGTTGTCACTAGGAGCAACTCTTAATACTAAGAAGCTTTGTGAATACCTCCCTGGATTTAATAGCATTAAAATGCAGGGCAAATTTTCCCATCAGTGTTAGTCAATTTCAGAGCAAAAATTCAATGGCATCGCATCTCTCCAGGAACCACAGGCCTCATTCACCAGTCTTTCTTAAAAGGAAATTTCTTCACCATTTTTCACAAAGATTCTGACACTCAGCAATGTTTTCTTATTTGGGATTTGTTTCCAGGTTAGAATTCAATCTACGCACACTCAAGAGCACACCTACTGATATGTAAGTGCTGACATGTTTGTGCAAATATGTTTGTTTTTGTGATATCTTCAATTCTACAGTTGTATGATACAATGAATTATAGGATTTAAAGCACAATAATAATTTCAGAATTTATCAAATTTTTAATGATTATTTAAATTATTGTACAAAGCATTATAGTGTTAAAAAAAACCACACTGACACTACACATCACACACTGCTTCAAGATGTTACAGATCATGTCCTGAGGAGGGAATGCAGCTTCCAGCACCATGTAGATCTATTTGTGAGAGTGACGCGGGCAAACCTTCCCTCCAATGGTCACTTTCTCTCTTCTCTGTTTGCCAACATTTTTGGGGGCATCAGATTTAAGATTGAACCTGTTTGGGGGTTGTTTTTTTTGTTGTTGTTTTTTTAACTTCATCACTTGTATTCACTGAATGATTAGTAACACAGTAGTAGCAGTAGCACATCATAAATTTGATGTAAACTTTTCTTAGGACCTTTCTCAGGAACAGAAAAAAAAACTTTTGGGATTTTTTGGATGAAAAGATTTTGGTGAATGACGCACAATTTTCTTGGTAGTCAGAATAATCCACCAAAAAACATAATCCCCATGAAGACTATTAAGCATCCTCAATGGATAATCCAGAGTAATAAAGACACTTTTTTCTAGAAAGAGATTTTGATTTTTTTGAAATTCATCAACCCAACCCTATAAACCTTGCCCCTGCTGTATAAACTTATCCTGTGCAAAACCTGACCTGTAGAAAGAAATGTGACAATAACAAAACAATAATTAAATATACCAACTTTGATTACAGACTTTGAGATGGAAATATCATTGTAACAGAAAAATATTTTAATTACCTCAGGTCAACCCTACAAACTATGTCTCTCTCTGGAGGAGGAAGAAGTGCAAGATGCTGAGCAGGCCCTGAATGAATGTGGTCTTCTTTTAAAGAAATGTATTTGCTGCAGATCCAAACACTACACACCAGTGATCTAAACCCAATTTCCTTGATCTGATTCAAATGGTCCTCACTGCAGTTCTGTCTGCCCCCTGTCTGTCCTTTCATATAAACATCTAATTACATTTTCTTACATTTGCCAATAACTCTCTGGATATGTATAGCCCAAGTAGTTCTCAGTCCACTAAACCAAATATTTTAAGTTTTTGAGTTCTTGACTATGTAACTTTTGATTAAGTGACCAAATTACTAATGCTCTTCACTGCCAAGAATAACATTTTCATTTAATCCACTAAAAATCGTATTCCCACTTAAATGACCACTCTTCTACTTTCCCAGTAGCCTCTTGTTACCTCCATTGGATTGAGTCCACATTTCCTCCTCTTTTCTTAATGACACCATTAATAAGCCCTCCTTCCACATCATGTGACAGGCCTACCTTCTCTACTTCAAAAACATTATTATACTTTCCCATCTCTATTTTATTTCATTTTATTTTATTTTTCATTTTATTTTATTTTATTTGTGGTTGATTTTCTTATATCTTATAATTTAATCACATAATCTTAATTCATAAGATCATGATTTTTTTTTTTTCTTTTTCACACCTGTACTCAGGTCTTATTTCTTCTTATTTCCCAGTTCAGTAGCTGGGCTTACTGTATTTCTACTCCTCCTGAATCCACTCTGATATTTTGATACATGTCCTTTTATTTCCTTTTATTAAATTTCAACCATAATTTACAGACATGGGATATTAAATCAATTTGTCAGTAATTCCCTGGATAAGTGCAATCTTTCCCTTTTTGGTTTGGTAGCCTACTGCTACTACTTATTCCTGGTTTTGTGGAAAAAATACTTCCACACTTTATGATTCAATTCATTGCGGCATGGTGATGTGGTCGTTAGCACTGTCGCCTCACAGCAAGAGGGTTCCAGGTTTGATCCCTGGCGTGGGAGCCCTTCTGTGCGGAGTTTGCATGTTCTCCCCGTGTCATCGTGGGTTCTCTCCGGGCACTCCGGCTTCCTCCCACAGTCCAAAGACATGCAGATTGAGGATAGGTTAATTGATAACTCTAAATTGTCCATAGGTGTGAATGTGAGCGTGAATGGTTGTCTGTCTCTATGTGTCAGCCCTGCGATAGTCTGGTGACCTGTCCAGGGTGTACCCTGCCTCTCGCCCAATGTCAGCTGGGTTAGGCTCCAGCCCCCCCGCGACCCTCAAGAGGATGAAGCGGTTAGAAGATGGATGGATGGATGATTCAATTCAAGTAAGATGTCTTTAGATTACTCACTACAACATTATATCATCTTAACAATTTTGGTCTTTGCCTGGTGAAGACATCCATGTTTTTCCAAGAGCGTGTTTAAGTTCTGCCTTTGTTGAAGAAATATTTTATTATTTGTTTCTTAATTTTGCAATAAAGGATTTTTGTACCTCTTTATCCATCCTTGCCATTACCCCATCTATTTACTTTAACAAAGGGGTGTACAAGCATCTCAGTTTTCTCTTCAATAGCTCCTGTAATTTTTTTTTGTAATTTTTTAACAACATTTTAAAAAAGAGAAAAGAAAAAAAAGACAGCAATAATACTAACAGTACTTGAAATATGTGCTTGTGTAATGCAGAATTAGCACAATATACAGAATAGTTATATTTTTTCTTTTGTCCCTCTTTCAGTGTTTTTTGCCTCCTTCTTATTGTTTTTGTTTGAGGAAAAAAAACAGAAATAAAAAAAACTGTATAGTGCACCCGTCTGCACACATACCTGCACATACATTCTGTACATACTGTATATGCACTCATACTCATACACATGCATATCTGTCCATCTCCAAACTCTGTAAGTAAACTTAACTACATACACTAGTAACTTCATCACTACATACATTCTTACTGATCCTATCAGGAGGGGATGAGGAAGAAGAAACAGTAGTGTATACAAAGTATGCTCTTAATGGGGTTATAACTTCGATCCAGATTATTCCAGATTTAAGGGAATTAGTTCTTTTGGATCCTTACAGAGAAAATGGCCCCTTTTCATTTTTAACAGTTTTCCTTACATTTGTTGTTTTAGCACACCACCACAGCCTATAGTTTTAGACTTAACTGCATTTTCACACTTCAACTCTTAGTTGGAATTGACTGAAGAAAATCCGAAAAGCCCCGAAAATCCTTTACATGACATGAATTCAACTTTTTGCATTTCAATGATTTCCTTACATGTATCCCACACAGCTCTATTACAAAACCATCTCATAACAAATTCTCTTAAAGGGACAGTTCACCCCCAAATCAAAAATACATGCTTTTCCCCTTAGTCTACCTGTAGGACTATTTATCAGTCTAGACTGTTTTGGTGTGAGTTGCCAAGGAGATATCGGCCACAGAGATGTCTGCCTGTCTCCAACATAATGGAACTAGATGGCACTCAGCTTGTGGTGCTCTAGTCACCAAAAAACACATTTGAAAGACTCGCAAGCAATGTCTATTTCCAGAAATCATGACCCGGTTACTCAAGATAATCCACAGACCTTGTTATGAGTAGTTTCATGTAGGAACCGCGGAACTACACCCACTAGCCGTATCAGAGTACAGAAGGACGTGTGCATCTACTCATGGAGGGGAGGCTTGTGTTAGTGGGTTGTCTAAATGTAGTATAATCTGTCAGCCAGCAGCAACAACCACATAATTGTCAGTTGACGAAACAAACAATGTCGTTCTACTGGGCAAAAGACAAGGTAGTTTTCCTAGTTGACAAATAATTGCCTATATAGACAGTAATGTTTATAATATAATTTTGTGTAAGCCTAAATGACATTCATTACATTTCTGTTTTATCAATCCCCAGTGACTTGCTTGTGTTTTGGAACTGACCCCAAAACACTCTAGACTGATAATATTCGATTTTGGGGTAAATTTTTCACTGTAGCGTAGTGCATCAATAGTGGTCGCCTCCTACTGTCATTTCCTTGACATTTTTCCCCATAAACTATTACCTAATTACCTGCCAAAGTTCACATAATGGTGTCGTGTTAGAAAAAAACGTTTTGTTAGAAATAATAGTAGGTTTCATTTTTACATTCATTGGCCAATAAATATGAAAAATATTTATCAGTTGAGCTGTATTATCTGGAAAGGTATTCCCATATCCCAGCTTTATCTGATGACCTGAATGCATCATAAGACGTGTCTCATTTCCCAGCTTCCTCTGCACTTCCTGCTTTCCACCGCAGAAGTGACAGACGGAACGAAAACAAAATGCGATAGTTTAACTTCGCCGATGAGCTGTGATCGATGACAGCGTCGTTATCGCTTCTCGGCGTATTTCACTGACAGCCTATTTAAATGTCATATATCTGTACCTGAGGCGCGTGTCAGTAATATAAAATTAACCATGCAGTTCTCTCCCACCAACGGAGATTTCACGTTCGTCTCCTCGACAGAGGCTGAAGGTAAGCTAATGCCAGCAGAGCTCCACTGCTAGCAGGCCCTACTAGAGACAACCACGTAACCAGTTTATGTGCTTTGATTTATGTCTCTTTTAGAAGCGCAATAGCCCTCGTAAATATTCATTCAGTGTAAAAATGGTGAGGGCCGACACTGTGCTGTTCGAGATAGCTCCTCTACTTATTTAAATGTGGCAGCTATCGATTAACGTTAGCTTTGCTAACTAAGTTTAGTACTGCTACGTGTCGTACACGAACGTAGCTAACAAACACCACTGCACAACTGGTTACTTCATTTGATATTGTTTATTGTACAGTGACGAGGCCATTTAAATAAGAGCTTAATGACACAAGCTACCTTTCAAATCATAGCACAATAGGAAGAATGACATTAAGTTAACGTTACACTCTTGTTTACAACTATTAATAGTGATTAATAACCTGTACTGTAATATGTAATGGGTATATTATACAGTGATAACAATATACTGAAAGTTAATGTACATCAGTGCAATTGAAGTGCATGATACTAAAAGCTGTAGAGTAGGGTGCAGAGTTGTCCTTGAATAACAAACAGGTTTTAACTGTACATTGGACACATGTGTAATATATGAATTATGGATGAATGAGGTATGGGTGGGGATCACCAGAGGCCCCAATGATATCATATTATCACAATACCCAGATAATGAAGCAATATTATAGAGATTTTAAACATGTAATGATATGCTGAGTATTGCAAGAACATGTACCACAAAACTTCAGTTAAAGTCCTAGTCCTTTTTACTAGCCCAGTGTAGCTACATATTTTGACAAGTTCTTTGGATGTATAAAGCAGGTTGTTGGTTACCTCAAATTTTGTGTCCATTCCTTGAATACCCTGCAAATTATTCATATTCATTTGGTCCTTAAGAGAAGAATCATAAGGGTTGTTCATAAAAAGTAATCCAAGTTGTGAGTATGATTTTAACAGAATAAAGTGGTGTTATGTCAGTATGCCGGGTCCTACTGATGCGCTGTCTGTTTGACCTAGAGCAAATGAATGATTCGTAACTGATACATTATCCACAGCCTAATTTTAAACAAGTAATTCATACTGGTTCAAATAAACAATATGACTGTATTTCCTGATCTTTGCTGAGCAACAGTTTTGTGTGAAAGGAATTAAAGGTCTCTCCCATATAGATGCCACTGGATGCTGTCCAAGAAATACAGTCAGGTCCATAATTATTTGGACAATGATACAGTTGTCATCATTTTGGCTCTGTACACCACCACAATGGGTTTTAAATGAAACAATGAATACCTGCTTAAAGTGCAGACTCTCAGCTTTCATTTAAGGCTTTTTTCAAAAATGTAGTATGAACCGTGTAGGAAATACAACCATTTCTTCACACAGTCCCCCGACTTTAAGGGCTCATAAGTATTTGGACAAACTAACATAATCATCAATTAAACAGTCAGTTTTAATACTTGGTTGCAAATCCTTTACAGTCAATGACTGCCTGAAGTGTTGGACACATAGGCATCATCAGATGCTGGGTTTCTTCCCTGGTGATGCTCTGCCAGCCCTTTACTGTAGCCGTCTGCACTTCCTGCTTGTGTTTTGGGTGTTTTGCCCTCAGTTTTGGCTTCAGCAAGAGAAACGCATGCTCAATTGGATTCAGCTCAGATGATATGACTTGGCCGTTGCAGAACATTCCACTTCTTTGCCTTAAAAATGACTTTGGTTGCTTTTGCAATATGCTTCAGGTCATTGTCCATCTGCACTGTGACGCATCGTCCAATGAGTTTTGAAGCATTTGGTTGAATCTGAGCAGATAATGTTGCCCCAAACACTTCAGCTTTCATCCTGCTGCTCTTGTTAGCAGTCACATCATCAATAAATACAAGAGAACCAGTTCCACTGGCAGCCATACATGGCCATGACATAACAGTACCTCCACCATGCTTCACTGATGAGGTGGTGTGCTTTGGATCATGAGCAGTTCCTTCCCTTCTTCCTTCTCTTGTCTTCCCATCATTCTGGTAGTTGATCTTTGTTTTATCTGTCCATAGTATGCTGTTCCACAACTGTACAGGCTTTTTTGATGGTTTTTGACAAACTCTAATCTGGCCTTCCATTTTTAAGGCTAACCAATGGTTTGTATGATAATGGTTACCATTATCTGCTCAGATTCAACTAAATGCTTCAAAACTCATTGGACGATGCGTCACAGTGCAGATGGACAATGACCTGAAGCATATTGCAAAAGCAACCAAAGTCATTTTTAAGGCAAAGAAGTGGAATGTTCTGCAACGGCCAAGTCATATCATCTGAGCTGAATCCAATTGAGCATGCGTTTCTCTTGCTGAAGCCAAAACTGAGGGCAAAACACCCAAAACACAAGCAGGAAGTGCAGACAGCTGCAGTAAAGGGCTGGCAGAGCATCACCAGGGAAGAAACCCAGCATCTGATGATTCCTATGTGTCCAACACTTCAGGCAGTCATTGACTGTAAAGGATTTGCAACCAAGTATTAAAACTGACTGTTTAATTGATGATTATGTTAGTTTGTCCAAATACTTATGAGCCTTTGAAGTCGGGGGACTGTGTGAAGAAATGGTTGTAATTCCTACACGGTTCATACTACATTTTTGAAAAAAAGCCTTAAATGAAAGCTGAGAGTCTGCACTTTAAGCAGGTATTCATTGTTTCATTTAAAACCCATTGTGGTGGTGTACAGAGCCAAAATGATGACAACTGTATCATTGTCCAAATAATTATGGACTTGACTGTAGGTGTGTTGATTTTAGTGAATTAAATAAATAATTGCCTGAGCTATCAATGGAAGCTTTATGGCATTACAATACAGTGAGATGTATTAGCCTTTTTTTCCCAATTGTAAATTATTTCCCTAAAGGAAAACTTTATCAACTTTATCTAATAAGATCAAGTTCTCATTCTGTTTTTCTCACTTTGGCCATTTTTACTGCAGCAAAATGTATCCATTGGATCAAAAAACAGTTAATTTTATTTATTAAAAAGTCTAGCAAAATTTTAATTTGTATTTGCAATACTACAAATCAATATTATAAGAACGGAAACTTTTTTTCTTTAACTTGAAAAACTAAGACAGGTAGTAACAAAGGTTACAGACAGACAACATGGAACAAAAATACAAAATTAAAAATGTACAGCTCTGAAATAAGCATTATAAAACACAAAATGAGATTACTACAAAGAAAAGCAAGAAAGTATGTTAATATTTGCTATAAATGAACTATAAAAATGCAAAAATTAATTACAAAGCCCAGCTAAGATACACCCTGACATTGGCATATAGATGATTGCATACAAAAATCCTGCAACATTGCTTTGAAACAGCTGAAAGGAACCAGTGAGTGCAACTTTAATTCCTTCTGCAGAAGATTCCACATATAAGAAGCTGCATATTTGTCAAACTCCATACGTACCCTTGGTATAGACAATAAAAACATGTTTTGTGAATGGGGAGCATAGCTATTTTTAATTCTTTGCTTAATGTACATAATAGCTTCAGAGAGCTTCAACTACCATTTACTTTTATTGACAATTAAGCTGATTATTTCCTCAAATAGTTAATTATTTGTTTGGTCTATAAAACATGAAGAAATTGAAAACACCCCACTTAAATCTTCCAGGGTCCAAGAAGATGTCTTCAGATTGCCTTTGCTGTGCAACCAACAGGTCAAACCCAGGAAAAAAACAAGCTCTAGTTAGATTGATGTTTCTACCCTTATGTTCAATGATGATTACAAGGTACTGAGTGAGGTGATTGTTTCCATAAAAAGGAATGTATAAGGATTCCCCCAGTACAGTAAAATTTTGGGGGCTTACAAGAGATGGATTTGAAAAACTTGTAAATGTAAATCAGGAATGCCCCTTTAAGTCTGGCACCTTTTTCTCCAAAGCTCTTTTTTTTTGACACATTATGTCAATACAACTGTGTATTCATGCTGTGTGTTTGTGGTATTTTGTCATACATCCTGGTACTACTGTATGTATTTCCTGTGCCACAGCAGTCTGTGATCAAACACTCAACTCTTAAAACAAACATGTTTTCCACAGAGCTCAGCGGCACCATCAGTGCCCCAGATATAAAGTTAAACATGGGCGGTGAGAGTGGTAAAGATCCATATGCCACCACCTTCCTGAGGCAGCGAGGCTATGGATGGCTGCTGGAAGTGGAGGAGGATGACAGTGAAGAGACCAAACCCCTTCTGTGAGTACATGTTGTCTTTCTTTTTAACTCGTGCTTTCATTTTATCAGATCTTTTTTTTTTTTTTTTCCTCAGGTCTTGTATCAAATGTTGTCTGTATCCACTTTTGACGGCTGATCTCACACAGTCCTTTTAGTATTGCTATAAAATGTCTACACAGGAACAGGAACAACCTTAGTGCATTTAAATTGATCATACATCTCTAAGGTACAGTTACAGTGCACACTGGTATACTGAGGATATCCTCACCGCCTGCTAAGCTTTCATCAAGAGTGGACGGTGTCTTTTATTACTCATATCCACTCTGTGCTTCTTCCCCACCAACTTTGATTCACACATCATGGTCGCACATTTTGGAATATTAAGGGAATTCCTGTTAAATGGGCGTTAAAGAATATGGCTGGGCAGTTGATGGAAGATGTATCAAAGTCACTGTCAAACTAACTAACTTTCTCAAGTCAATATAGGCACCTGAAAGTACAACAGCAAATCTGACTCTGTAGGTCTAAGCGCACCACCAGTCCTTAGGGTTGGACTGCTGTAAGGTGTTAAAATCTTCAGACCATTTTGATATTAAGCCAAACACTGGGCTGGACCAGTGTACCGAATTTTACCAGGTATTGCACTTGAATCATTAGCTGCTCCTGAATGGAACACAATGACACCGTGTCCCAAAAGAAAACAAGCGTCTTACTGTTGCATGGCATTACACAACATGAAAAACTATGTACACACTGAATATGTTGATATGCACTTCTTTTAAATCATGTAAAAGAAAAACACAACGTAAATATCAGCCGTAGCCTACACTAGAGGTCAGACTGGAGATGTAACATTTAAAAGATAGGTGAATAACCTACTTGCTCTCTTCCTACATTTGTAATGTTACTTTTTAAACTTAAGAGACTAACTCTGTCATGTCTCCAGTCATGACCCCAAAAAACACATGAACTTCCTAGTAAACGAACATAACAAGTGCCGCACCTCCATGTTGCCAACATGGGCCTGGACTCGGCAGTAAATTGCTCACAGCCTGTTAAACACTAGTGGCTCTGTTTGCCCGTGTATAAATATTATGTTAATCGTGTTGTCATATTGCTTAGAGTATTACTAATGAAATACAAGTTGGATGCAGGGTTGTGATGCTCACAGCTCAGGTTGCTGATATAGGCTTCTTTTTTTATTTGCCAGAACGCGTCATTATGACAGATGCTGGTTCAGCTGGTTTGCATAAAATCAAACTAGTTGCAGCTCTTATAACAGACCGGCAAAACAGGGAATCAGACCAGCTCTTGTTCAGGATAGGTAGGTGTGCTGACTGTAGAAGCAGAGTCAGATTATCGGTAAGCCATACATGTGAATGAATGAATATAATGACAGGGGTTAAACCGGAGATTAGCTACGTCATCCCAGAGCAGTAAAGAAGTCTCCTGTGTTCTCCCACCTTATTCTGAAAGCTAAAGCTGATAATTGGAGACACAACAGTCTGTGGCACATTGTTAAGATTATGTCACTGCATACCCTAAAACATCCTGCTGATGGAATAATGACACAGTACACACAATAGAGACACAGTAAAGGTTTATTCAAATGTATTTATTTTATCACTCATTATGCAAATGTTCTGTCGTTATGATGTAATCTTGTCTGTTTGAAAAGGGAGGAGCTGGACATTGACCTGAAGGACATCTATTACAAGATTCGATGTGTGCTGATGCCAATGCCATCACTGGGTTATAACCGGCAGGTGGTCAGAGACAACCCGGACTTCTGGGGCCCTCTAGCTGTGGTGCTGCTCTTCTCCATGATCTCCATCTATGGACAGTTCAGGGTGAGCAGGACACAATGAGTGCATTTACATGGACATGATTAACCTGTTTATGAGGTTGATCCCAGTTATTCAGGACATGGTGTTTGCACGAAAACAGAGGAACAGGGTTATTTATATTTCCTGTATTCATAAAAAGTACTAGTCACCTGGTTGCTGCAGTCTATTTGCGCAGGGCTGTGATGTTTACAAAAACAAACCAACAATGGAAGATATGAGCAACAGGAAACATTAAACACTACCCTGTACTTTTCTCACTCACACTACGTCATTCACCTTATGTATTTCCTAAAAGCAGTTATGCTACACTTCTAACACTGTCCTCCATTTTAACCGGCGCCAGTCTGACACTGTAGGACAGGGGTGCAGTGGTCATTACAAAAAAAAAAAAAAGTTTTTCATCATTGCTCCAGAATTGAGATGCTTTTACTGCCACCATTTTTCATGCTCCTTTTACGCCACTCGGCTGAAGCCTCACCTGCACTGGTAGTCAGAAGCTCTCAATAACAGGAATAAGGTGTATACGTGCAACAATTTCCCAGTTTGTTTCAGAGTACTTCAGGCAGCATGTCCCCGTTTCTCATAAATACTGTTCCAGGATCAATAACAAATAAGTAGATCCATCGCACACAAGAGGGCTGAATTGCTTCTTCTTTTAATTTAGTCTTTATTTGTAACGTTACAAATGAAGACTAAATTAAAAGGAGAAGCACTTAAGCCCTCTCGGGTGCAATGCATCTACCTGTGTACTGTCAGTTGGATGTTTCCTGCCATCACCTTCACCAAGTTAAAAGGACTGACAGTGCTGTGCATGGGGCATGTTCTTGTGACTTTTCCAGGTTTATCTGTTACCCCCTTTCCACCAAAATTTGCATATGTATATACACACACACATACAAACATAAATATCTCAATTTAGTACAGAGTACAGTACAGTACAAAGGAAGTGCATCAACCATTCTGCAGCCAAAACAGGAACTTTTTGCTTGTGTTTTCCTGTGATGACTCATAAAAAGTCAACTTGTGTTTTGCCTTGCAAATGATTTCAGTGTGAAGTTGCAGCAGTAGGAAATGCTGGGTTTGCATTAGCAGTAACTTAATACAGTGCTCTACAGATACTGAGTGTCATCATGCATATCTTTTCCCTCAAAATGTTTTTAACACCATGTTTTTCCCCGCGTTTATCTACCAGTGGGAAAACTTCCTCACTGTGGCATCCCTCTGTGGATGGTCGCTATGGATGTCATTCGTCATAGTAACTTGAGTGTTGACACTAAACTCTGTTTTTATTTTGCAGGTCGTGTCTTGGATCATCACCATCTGGATATTTGGATCGCTAACAATCTTCCTGCTGGCTCGTGTTCTCGGTGGCGAGGTAAGCGCAGCTGACACCTGGTTGTCTTGTGCAGCCAATCAAAATACAGTCAGACACGAGTCGAACTTGTTCTCATGGTGTCCGTTGTTCTTTTGCGCAGGTTTCCTTCGGCCAGGTTCTGGGAGTGATTGGATATTCCCTTCTGCCTCTCATCGTTATAGCCCCTCTGCTCTTAGTGATCGGAGGGTTTGAGGTGGTTTCTACACTAATCAAAGTGAGTCACAGGCCGCACAGTAATGAACTTGTTTAGTAAAAAATAAAACTTTAAACTGATACATAATGCATATGATAACAGTTGCTAGGGCAGAGAATCACGTTACACTCACTAGGATCAGAGAACAACTGTTACAGCCTGGGGTTTATAGCTTGCATGAGCCTGTATACTAGGGCTGTAAGGTTCTGGTTGGTCAGGCGAATGTTTGGTCATTATGATTTTGTCTTACCAAATTCTCATTGGTCAGACAATCGCTGGTGTTACTTTAATAAGGCTGTGTGTCCACCAAAGCGTTTCTTTACTCAGCTGAAAAACAATAGCTGTTGTTGCTCAGCGCTTGTGTTTGTCCTCTGTGATGATTGAGTCTTTGCTGTGTTTGTCCCGCTTTTCTCCACTGTGATTGGATGGCTGGTGACAGTGGCAAGCGCAGCATTTTACCTGAAGTTAATCATCTTCAATTTTCAAAAACAAATAAGTAATCACAGAAGACATTCAGTGTCGGATTTGATGGATTTCAAACTCTCTGAAAGGTATACAATCACACCAGAGCCCTTGTTGGAGCGGCAAGATGGCTAACATTAGCCTCTGGGCTAAAACTAGTAAATCTCTCTCCCACATCCAGGTTACAGAGATATTCGACGTTAGTAACATTATGTGGTATATGACATCATCAACCCCAAAGTTAACTTCTACAGTGTTCAGTATGTCAGATTTTTCTCATCAGTCCTGTTTAATTCTTTGGGGTGAGACAGACTGACACAAGCAGGTCAGGTCAAAAAGTGTTAAATGTGCATGGTTCATTTTCTGACAATACTACATTGGAGATCACATTTATATTTCACTCAGGGCACTCCACTTGCCTGAACGCAGAGATGACTTGCCCAGGGCAAGGGCAATGTGGAGCCCTGTGACAGGGAAAAAACGCTTTGATAGACACACAACGCTACCAGTTAAAGTGCACACAGTACACTGTGGCGATTTAGTTAATCTAGAGATAACCTGTGCAGATCCCCCTCCCCCCCACCCAGACCAATCAATTGGTCGAAGAGTAGGTAGAATTTCAGGCAACTACAGCCCTATTGTATACTAACCTACATAAAGCCCAGTACACATCATCTGCTGTTTCATACTCTGTGTGTAGCATCATGATTAATACATGGAAACTCTGCCATAATCACAACCATACATCTTTAGACAGTCTGTTTAGACCCAAAGGTTTAACACTTACTAATTGTTTTGGATAACAAGTAGCATGTTGGAATTTCTGTGTGACACTAGCAACAGGATCACAGATCAACACAGAATATACAGGTTGCAGTAACCAAACAACTGGTCAAAAACAGCATCAAAGCACAGACAGTGTCATGGGTTAGTGAAGAGATATGGTGCATTTAGAAAGAATTCAGACCTCTTCACTTTTGTCACATCTGTTCTATTGCCTTGTTTACATTAATTTTTCCTCTCATCAGTCTGCACTCAGTACCCCAAAATGACAGAGTGAAAACAGGATTTTACGTTTATCATAATTTTTTGCAAATTTGTTGAGGAAATAACTGAAATATCACATTTATATAAGTATTCAGACCCTTAAAGCTTTGTTTACATTTGCATGAGACACTGTAGCGCAGGCCTCTGTAGATGCCATGCGAGCTATGAGCATACACAGAGGCATTTATGGTCATCACGTTGTTCATTGCAATATGCTCCAAAACACCAGTTGGTGTACAAACAAAATATTCTGTGGATATGCAAGAAGTCAACAAGTGTTACTGGAAGAATGTTTCCGGAAAAGTAGGCTGCCAGGCAACAGTAGTAAACACTGATGTGCCAGCAAACATAACATTTGTGTACCATGATTTACTGGCGCTTACCTCCAAGTCGAAATTATTTCACATCTCTTCGTCTCTTAGTCTTTCCATGATCATTTATTAGCTTTTACGGTCATGTTTTTCCACACCCTGCAGCAAAAAGCCTCTCACTCCCCCAGTGTGGTGGGGGCTATGTCTTTCCAAGAATTCAAGGCTGTTGACTGTTCCTGTGGTCTCTCAATGAAGAGTTGTAAAGTTATCTGCACAGACGAGCCTTCTCGGCCTGTCTTCCTAGGGCTCATTTATCCCCCATTAACATATGAAAATAGATACATCCATTTCAAAAGTTGTAAACACCATTGCCCTCATTCTTTCATGCATCCCTTATGATGGCATAGATATAGCCAATAGGTGGCCCAAGAGGGTAGGGTCAAAAGTTTCACACAACAACAAACGAGATGAAGGAGGTCATAATAATGTGTGTGAGTACAAGACTGAATGCCACCTGAAAAGCATGTATTTGGTATGAGATGATGGATATTGTTGGGAAAATAATTTTAAATAATAATAATCCAGATAAAAGAAAAACTCACAATGTCTTTATTATAAAACCTAACCTCCTTCATGCTACCAAAATGATCTGAGCTATGTGTACTTTCTCAATCAGAAATAATGTTGAACCAATGAAATGATTCGTGCTTGTGTGTTCTGATCTTTCAGCTGTTCGGAGTGTTCTGGGCTGCTTACAGTGCTGCTTCACTGCTCGTCGGAGATGAATTTAAAACAAAGAAGCCCCTTCTCATATATCCCATTTTCCTTTTGTATATCTACTTCCTATCATTATATACTGGTGTGTGACTGGATGAGTTGAAACTGTGGACCTTTTCATGGACATTGACCCTGGAGCATGGGGAAAGAAGTCAAACTATGGAACCAGGATTTTTTTAAAAGGTGTTTATTTCTTTTTTAACTCTATTAAATCCTAGATGGTGGGGATGTTGGGAATATATATATCTATGTATATAGTTTTGTCCCTTATGTCTTTGGTCAATAAATTGCATATGCTTTTACAGCTTAAACTTCAGTATGCAGACTTACTGTTATAAACCGCAGGAAATAGTCACAGGGTTGTATATTAATTTAATGTTGTTTTTTTTTTACTCTTTATCCCACTGAAGAATGTGGTGCCAAATGTTTGTGGTGTTTATGTTCATGCTGAAGGAAGAAAATGTGAGAAACGCCACCGCAAAGAACGAAGGAGATTGTTGTGCATTATGTTCTTCATTGTTATGCACTGTAATGTACTATGAGAAGTGTCCATCCAAGTGTCCATTTTCGTTTTACACGAACGTGTTTTCATAATTTATGGATTCCAGCAGCAGAAGCAGGTCGACTGGGGCAGTTCGAGTGTTACAAACCATTGTCTGCTAAATGTGGTGCCTTTTTTCCCCTACCAATTAGTCCTGTTTGTCAGCCATTTAATGCAGGAATATAATCATTTGATCAATAATTACAGTAAATTGATATAGTTATTTGTCACTTAACATCTGGTATTTCCTGACTGATTTTTTCATTATATACAGTAAACACAGCTGGTCACACTAATATAGTGCCAATCTCTCCTTATGGTCTCAGCAGGTTGGATTCACTCACAAAATTTCACTCAAAACAATTAAAAGGTCAAAAATAGCTGTGTATCAATCCAATATACATGCTGATTTTATAGATACAGTCAGTATCTACTCATAGGTGGGCGTCATAGTAAGGGCAGAGTCAGCAAGGGGGAATAGTCCTGTCCCCCAGCCTGTAAATGGTGGGAAATCACGATTTTAAACTCACGTTAGAGGCACTATTACATTTACTATAGATATGAATAATTAAACTTAGCATAATATGAGTACCCTACAGCCATTAACACTGTGATGTTTTTGTGCGTTCCATGCACATTTTGAGACAGTGTAGCAGCCCTCAGTTACTCAACGCTACTAGCCCATGTTTTAATGATGAGGAATAACGTCATGGAGTTGCAGCCTGAAGAACTAGCATTGTTTGTATAAAATCTTACATCCGTTTTTGTTTAACCAGGAGCAGCCTGAAATCCACAACCATCTTGTGATGGGACCACTCTAGCTGTGATACAGCATTTTTGGGCAAGTTGGGGCCATTGGCCCCTTGCTTGGATCAAACCCATCTCTGACTTTAGCCTTTATTTTGATCTCAACTACACACCTGTTAAGTTTCATGAGCCAGGGGCATAAAGTCGGGGGCTAATGGCCCTTTCCCTACTACCTATCCCTCTACTTCTGGCCCCTTTACTTTGACCACACCCATCTTCATAATGGGCCTTCATTTTGATCTCAGCAACACATCTGTAAGTTTTCCGACCATATCTTGTTACATTACAGTTTGACAAAAATCTGTCCACTGACAGATACCTGTCACCAGTACTCAAAATGGCTTCTATGGTAGTTCCTGCTACAGTGAGTGTCGTTAGGACCACATTTGCCATGATAACATTCACACATGGATTCACTAGGTGAAACAATACCACCTGTCGTAACATTGGTGGGGCTGGCAAAAACAGCAAAATCCAACACCACAAAGGCACATGCTATGTCAAAAAAAATGCACAAGTGCAGTTTCTGGTAAGCATGCAATGAGCTGATTTTACGAATGGTCTTCCCAACCTCCAAACAATTTCATCATTAAAATCTTTGAAAATCTCCATATGTCTCAGTTTGACTCAGCTTAAGTTAAAACAAAGGAAAGGTGACTCTAACATCAATGCAGAATAAACAAGGTGATGGAAAATGACAACCAGCACAGAACAGCAGCCAGGAGACATCTTGGGATAGCCATCGGGCTAAGCAGACCACCTAGCACCCAAGACATTATAGATGCTACAGTTAGCTAAAGCACTACATGGCCAAGAGTCTGATGTGATTGCATACCCTGTCACAAGTGCAAACCTCTCCGAGAGATATTACCAAAAGAGTGACTGCAAACAAACAGGCATATATGAGAGCCAAATCACCAGCTTAGGGACACGCTGCTCAGAGCAAGCTGTGGAGTGCTGGAGGTGCCAAGAGAAAACATGTGATTGGAGGGCTGATCCAGAAAAAACAATAACCTGATAAATGGCATCTGGGAAAAAGCGGACAAAGGCTGGCCAACAAATTTAGTTGTGAAGTTGTTCCCAACATTGCTGGGAAAGGATAAATTCTCAGTCTATTATAATCGACAGAGTGCATAGGACCCTACAGAAGCCGAATGGTGACTGACCAGCAGAGGCAGAAAGAGTACTAGAAAATTGTACTCGAGTACTGTTGGATTGTTCAACTATAGAATATCACAGAGAAGAACACAAGATGGAATTCAGATTAACACATTCAAAAAGTGGCTTAATGTTGTGAAGCACCAAAACTGAAGAGGGGTAAGGACTGCTGTCCATGCACATTTGGTGTACCCCCAAAGAAATGTGGGCAAACAAAACCACAGTGGTGGGGCACCTTAATGATAATGATGAAGTGGGGTCCAAAGATCCAAAGAAGAACCAAAGGTCCAAAGAAGGAATAGAATGGTATCAGAGTGATTATACACAATGGTATGATGTGGAACAACAACTGATGATGATGCTGTAGGCAACACAACCAAGCCTGAAAAAAAAATTCATGTTAAAAAACAACACAAATGTGGGATAAGATCAAGCCAAAAGTGGGATTCCTTAACTAAAAGGGCATGAATAAATGTCATTTACAAGAACAACTTTTGATGTACTCTGCTTTTCAAATACAGTGATGTGAAAATACACCACAGCAGGAAATGCGTGTGTTCCATTTTCAACCTGCAGAGCAACCTACATATTCAACAAAAGCTCCAAGACCATAAAATCAGTAAATATTAGAGACATCTCGGCAAAGTAAAACATGTAGAAGGTAGATGTGCTTTAGGCCTGCCAACTACAGTACGACAAAAGAAGCAAGCTTGCAAAAGCCCTTCTCAGTGAACAAGAATACTTACTACAAAGGTTGTCTGAAACACCTTCTGCAGAGTTGATGGCGGGAAATTTCAGCCATGCCCTGATCAAAGAAGCAATCAAGGCGGTTGCAGCAGGGGTAAAAAACAAAAAAAACAACAACAAAAAGATCACAAAACTACGAGGTGATTTTTTGATGGAGCTAGTTTTGATACAAGAGATACTAAAGGAGAATGACATCAAATTCACAACTTGCCAAGGATACATTTAGCACTTGCAGGTTGATGCGTTTGGCGTCCACCTATACAGAGAGACAGGCCTGATAATTCTGTTGGAGCGTTTCTGTAAAAATGCCCAAACCACCCTTTTCCTGGATGCCACCTGTGGCTGAATACATCCGCTCCCCAACCAGCAGAAGCAAGTCCTGTACGACACTCTCACATGGCCAGGAATTGGTAAAACCAGCCCTTTCTTGCATTAGACATTACTGAGATGAACACCAACGATCAAACTGTACCAAACCTGGCCGTTTGGCTTCTTTAAATGCCAACAAAACTAAGCAAACTGGCCACCCATAACATCCACCAGCCAGAAACCGACCACAGTTGGGCACGTATTAAGGTGTCCTCTTGGCCCTCTGTAGTCAGGGTGTGTTGTCAGATTTAGAGACTGAGACCGCAGTGCTGCTCTTGTGCACAGCACACATTCTCAAGGCGATCTCAGTGTCCTTTACCATCAAGGTAATCAATCACAGTGTAGGAATGATCAAGCATTGATAAATGTGGTAACATTCATCATTTACATATCCTGCCCCAATATATTCTGGGTTTAGAGGCCTCGCCCCAAGAGTTTACGACATTGAGAGATGTAAAACGGCCAAGATGAGAAACTTTTTCTGAGCTAGAAATGGAAACGCTGACGTCCCAGGTCTAGTTTAACTAACTGGTTCTATTTGGCAGCCTGAAAAGTGGCATCACAGGAAGTCAGAAAAACACAGTGTGGATAGAAGTCACTGCTGCGGTCAACAGCGCTGCAGTGGACAGTTGTTTAATATTTAATTTACATGTCCATGATATGTACCAACCTATAGCCTACATATTAATATTTGTTTATATTAAATAATATTGATATTGTCATAATATTCATATAAAATCCTTTAATTAACCCAGACTGAGGATTGTGTGGTTGCGCATATCAGGTCTGCTTTCATTTCAGGGATAACAGGTGGTGGAGTAGACACAGACACACCATCTGTGTCGGAGCCAGACAATGATAAAACTTTAATAACCCATAGGCTACTAGTATTTAAATAATTACAGAGTTGCAGGTTTATTTATTTATTTTTAATAACGCTTTAGTGATAAATGATATAAACTTGCTTTGGTTTGTCAGTGTTTAAAAACAAAAAAAGAAAATTTTCACATAAATTAGGTCGGGGCACAAGCGGTGTTCATTCTTTGATCAGCCAGGAGCCAGTCCCACAGAGCCAGGCAGCTTCCAGCTGTGATAGAAAGCATCCATGTGGCGGCTATACATTTTTAAGTGATTAATATGCTGCTGCAAATACTTAGATGCCAGTCAGAATACAGTCTAATAACAAATTCACCATCTCAGCCAGATTTATTCCTGCTCCAAGCCACTGCTCACATCCACATTGATAAATGCCAAGCTTTGCGTGGAAATGACTGCACGCTCATTTTTCTGTCATACGTTTGTTTCATAAATGAGAGCCACTATGAGGCATTGATGATTAACAGCACCAGCTTAAACAGTGCTTTACAGATGTTTGGCCAAATGTGTGCTGTATATAGCTGAGTACTGAAGTCTGACTGTGAATAAGAGTCTCAAAGCTCTCCAGGACCACATCACAAAGATTCCTCTCCTGATGACATCACCAGTGCCTACTTGCAATCAGAAGACACTAAGCCCTCAAGGACAGCCAAAACTCTTCATTCCACAAAGCATTCAGAGCAGTCAAAAGGACTGTGGAGTCCATTTTCAAAGAAGATGAAAACAAAACAGAGGAAAATGCATACCACTGTCTTGTTCTGGGACTACTTGAAGACACTCCCTCTTTGTTAGGTGTTTTGCTGAGTGATTTGGCCAGGTGTGCTTCAGACGCACCTTCAAAAGTGACAGCATAGAGTGCTTACCCCAGGCAAACAAACTGCGATGCGGAGAACTGATTTGGAATTGTGAAGAACCAAATCCTTCAAAATGAATATTTTCTGCGGCCTGGAGTTTTCATTCAGAAGCTCCATGCCTCTCTGGGAGCATGCTACAATGAGCACAGTCTCTAACATGTTCTTACAGTGGAAAAATGGGGCAAGGGGGTGACATGCTGGAGCACTCTGAGGAGCAAAGATGAGTGTAAGCCCTTATCAAAGAAAAACCAAATACTCTGACCCTTCCCAGAGCTTTTCCAACTTAAACTGCAGTGAAGAGAAGAGAACAACGAGCCAGAGGGCCAAGGTATGTGTCACACAAAAAAAAATTAAACTAATTTGTGATGTATACTGTGATTTAAACAGCAAGCAATACCAGGAGTAGGCAAAAACCAGAAAAATTGAAGCAAGACAAATTCCAAAAACTATTAGAAATATCACCACCGATATCACAGATATCGCACTAAATGCTGGAAGGCAATGAACACACTAGGATAAGCCAATGTGTCAGTGAGCAGGGGAAACAGAGGAGTATATATGCAGAGTAAGCAGAGGGTAAAATCAGGGGGCAGGTGAGTAAAGAGGGTAATCAGGGAGGTGACCAACACACAAGGGCAGGACCCAAATGTTTATCACAGGAGAGGCTATTATTTAAAAGTTGATCACAGAAAAAGGAGAGGCTATTATTTGAGAATAAAATGTTAAAGAGACTTGCATATTTATAGCACCTTTCTAGTCATCCGATCCCTCAAAGTGCTTTACACTACATGTCACATTCACCCATTCACACACATGTTTATACAATGGCTAAATTTACAAAAAATTTCCATTATTATTCTGAATATGACAGTGTTCTGAATTTGATGTGGATCATGTAAACAGCAAATTCTGTTTACATATTCCGAATTAGGGTTTTTTTTTCTCCTCAATGCAGCATTTTCTGATTAAGACGTGGAATATTCTGGTATTATTCAGTTTTAATGAATATTCTTAGGGCATGTATACAGCACATTTTGAATATGCGTCTTAACTGGGGTTTTTACTGCAGTTTGCGACACACAGCCTCTTGTCTGCTTACAGATGACCAATGAAGATGTTGTACACAAACCAGCTAACCAGCTGTTTGTAAGGCTGGTGTAGGGATGCATGCCCCAAAGAAAAGCCCACATTTCTGGTTGGAAGGAGAAACACACCTAATTTTAAACAATATGAAAGACTTGGATATCAATAGGTTTTGGATATGTCCAAAAAAAATTTATGAGACAAAACACATCACCTTAGACATTCACACACACACACACACACATGCACTCTCGCACGCACGCTCTCTCACACACACACACACACACACACACACACACACACCAATGGCACAGCCCCAATTTGGGGTTCAGTATCTTGCTACATAATGTACATTAATCATCCAGTCCATGAATGAATATTCATGCATGTATATTCACTATCTATTTCTTTGCACTAATTGCATAGTTAACAACTTACTCAACACTTGAATTGTGTGTAGACATTTTATTTTTATTGCTGGTCACTGATGCTTTCATAAATACAGTACAGGCCAAAAGTTTG